GTGATAAGGGGAGTGTGGACACAATTCTAGCGTCAGTGCTTCTACTGCCCTCTCTTGGATGCACCATAACCTTCTGAGTTCGGAGCATTATAAGCAGCCATATATGATGGTGCCCTAAGTGACTTTTAAAAACAACAAATGGGAGGCATGGATGGAGACATGAAACTAAACAAATCAGACAAGGTCAACATAAGCCCGTGTATATACACACACATTTGACTAATGTGCATGAAAATAAAATTTTCTGAAATATATACAGCAAGTGAGCCAACATATAGTGATGAAACAGAAATGCTGAAAGAGCTCAGATGGATCTTTGCAGATCTCTGAGTTCATCTGGGATGCACACATGAAATCAAAACCTTGCATTCTTGGCTAAGAAACAAAGTTGCCTAAGTGCAAGAGATTTGTTGGTTATGCTGAATGCTTCTAGTTCTTTGGAATCAGCATACCAAGAACTCTTTTGACAAAAGCTCAACATCATTGAACGCTCAGAAAAAAAATACAATTAGATGGTGACTTTTTTTCAGGAAAGGCTAGACATATACACCAAAAGTCACTTACATTTTAAACATAATCAAGTTAGTTTGATGCTTACCTTGCCACATGGCCTGTTTAAAATCACTGTAGCAACAAAGAAAAACTGAGTGGGATGGTGTGGGATGCACACTTTGGACATACACATTAAACCTAGTGGCACCCCCTCCCCCAATCTAACTTTAGGATATTCCAAAGATACTCTACAGAAGTGCAGGTTTGCCTGTGCAATGAACATGAAAAAGAACATTAAAGACTATGACACATCAAGGAGTACAGTTAAACTGTTAAAAGCAGAGTTTTACTGCAATTCTGTACCCCTGCTTAAGTGGAGACAAGTTCTACTGAAAGCATAATTCATTAGCTTGACTAGGTTGACACAACATAATTGACTAGGTTGGCACAACATAATCCACATTTCAGTGATCCTGCTTTAACAGCAGCTAATTCTTATTTTAAGCTGCTGAACCTGCACCAGAGTGGCCAGCAGGGTGAACTTAACCCAAGAGGGTCTGCCATCTTGAGCAGCAGGCCCCAGACAAGCAGAGGTATAGTACTGGAGCCCTTGCGGTACTGGAAACTGGAATCAATATTGTACTCTTGTGAAGCCCAATCTCTTTGAGGGACAGAAACATACCTCATCTACCATGGACATCCATATAAAATATATAGCATACAGAACCAATTTACTGAAGAGTAGTCACACAGCATAGAACAGCCGAAGTAGAGCCTTTGGCAATGTGTAATAGAGGAGGGGATTCAAGCAAAGCTATTAGTATAAAATAGGGACAATGCAGCAGGGCTGTATGTTCAAAACTGGCACAAGAGAAAATATCCTTGCCTGGGGATGAAGCAACTGGAAGAAAACAAGGGCTTACCTTCTCAATATAAAGGAATGCCCTGTACCCTATGTGTATCATATGTACCATGTACATTGTGACATCAGGATTGGGCAGGGTAGAGAGACCCCTTTAAGTACCTTTGGAAGGTGGAAGATGGAAGGCTACTAAAGTTGTCTTGCTCAAAGATCATCAATCACAGAATCTCTTTGTAGATGATGCAGCCACTGAAATTACTCCTGTGCTTAAAGTAGTGCTGAAACAGAGTCACTAAATCAAGCTGCATATGGAACATGGAACTGTTTTGTCCCCTGTCCCATTTGGTTGGTCAAAATGCCCTGTGGTTGGCTGTTCAGATCCTGCTGAATTTTTAATCCTGCACCACACCCTGCATCTGACTCCTTTCCCTGCATCTCAACCAGGGCATTTAGTGGCAAACAAAATTTTCTCTTGTGATCTATTGATTCCTAAGTGGTCACAGCAATCTAGCCTCTTCTCAAGTATATTTTTTCAAGTAGCAATAAGTGCCAGCTTGCGTTTACTAAACAATGAAGTGAATTGATTAGGGGTTGTATAAGGGGTGGGGAGTGAAAGAGAAGCTTGTATACTGAAGGCAGACATCAGAGAGTGAGGGAGAAGGGCTAGTAATACGTCCTTACAGTCTGCTAGAAAAATTTGCTTCCAGTGATGGGTCAGGGTGCAACACTGAAGGGAGCAGAGGGATAAAGAATTGTCTGTCTGTTTAATGGCGAGTTCCTAATAACCTTTTACATGCCCCCCCCCCTGCTCCACCCATGTATTTAGTCATGGGGCATGGTGGGGCTCAGGGGAGAAGATGACAGGGCTGGAGTGCCTGGCCCCCAGAGCTCCTTTAAGCTTCACACTTATGTATTGGGACAGTTTTTAAAAAAAAAAACTATTTAAAAAATCATGAGAGTCAGTTGATGTGGGAAGGGTTTAAAAACTGCTGTAAAAATTAAGAAAAAATGACACTTTGCATTTAGTTTAGACTATTTATTACTGGGATTTCAGGCACGGCGGCTGTATGAATCTTTTACATGGACTTGTTTAATTATTTGTACTTTTCATGCCAGAAAATAAAAAGTTCAGAATCTTATGGGTGTCTGTTGTGTGCCAAAAGAATAGAATTCCTGCTTAGCTGTACTTCCTCTACACACCATTGACCAGCATGACTTACCTTACACACTTCACTGCATGTCATTTGGAACCGTAAGAAGCCCTGTCCACTTCACATTTCAGTACTTAGCTATGCTTTTGCAAACATGTGTACTGACAACAGAAGTTGCATTTTCTATACAGAACTACATCAGAGCAAAATACTCAGTTGCGCCAGCAGTTCACAGACAAAAATGGGTATTAAGAAGTGTTTGATTGGATCCTAGTAAGGCCCTCCCCCTTGACTACCTGAAAGATTTCCATGTTAGATTTGTTCGTAGTATTCCAGGTACAGAATAGACAAGGGATTCGGATGTGTCCAAGGGCAGTGGATATCCTTATCTATTGCAGCTTTTATGTCAAGCTTTCTAAGAGCTATCCATGACAGTGAACCTATTTGGGGGGGGGGGGGTGTTCAGAACCATAAATAACTAGTATAAAGCTCAGAATAGAAGCTGCAAAGAATAAGGAGCTCCACTAACACAGAAGCCCCCATACAGTATATCTTTCCTGTGGATAAAATTAGCTTTCATTTTCTGTCAAAATGGGGAAAAGGGGAATGCCTCAAATTTTTACTAAGTGTTGTTAGCTAGGCATCCTAAGCACGACAAAGCACTTCTAAACTGGCCCTCATTCCCTAACAGTTATGACCTTGACAGTTTGATGTTTCAAAGCCATGAACATTATCTTAGGGGTTTTTTAAACATTGAGGGAAAGACACACAGGATGCAGGGTTGTGTTCTGCTTAAGCAGACAGCCCGCTTGTTCTTGTGCCATTGTCTCCAACTTATGGTGACTGTATGAATGAAAGCCCTCCAAAATGACAGCCCCGCTCAGCTCTTGTAAATTAAGGCTGGTGGCTTCCTTTATGAACTCCTTCCCTCTCATATTTGGTCTTCTGTCTTTGACTTTTCCTAGCACGATTGCCATCACCAGGGAGTTTTGCCTTCTCACAATATACCCATATGTGAAAGCCTATGTTGTCATTTTTGCTTCTAGGATAGCTCCTGCTCTTTTCTGTAACAGATTATTCATATTTGATACAGGAACAAAGCAGGCACTAGATGCAAAATATAGTCCCTGAGTCTGCCATACTCCTGTGATTACAGAATATACAGAAACTGTGCAAATAATAGGCTGCAGCTCCTGTTGAGTTCTATTGGAGAAAGCAAATGGGCTACCGTTACATACAATAAAAAGGGCAAAACTGGATTCTGAGTCCAGGCACGGGAATCACTGGACAGGCCTCATCCCTATGGTTTGCACAAGCATACTTTTTTCCTTTTGAGCAGAGCTCCAGCTTAATTTTATGGGGAAAAATAAGCAACTGCACTTGAGGATGTTGTAGGGGGTGGTGTGGCCCCTTATGATTGAGATTGCAGATACTGTGCATCACAGAAACACTTCTGTTACCTAGGGCAGCCAAATTAACATTTTTCCAGTATGTCTGCTGAAGACAATTAGTGACTTCTGCCTCTTCCTTAACTCTTGTGATCCAGGTATGCAAGCTAGTGGATGGAGCTCTTATTAAGGTGGTAACTCAATTTTGCCTACATAATTTAAACCATTTCTATACCATTCAATTAGCATAGTGCTCTCAGAACAGTTTACACATTAGCAGAGCCTGATCTTGTTGAGGTCCAGAAAAATACTGCTAGGAGCCCCTATTCATCAGGGGTTCTGACACATGTAAACGGACTTGTATGAAGGTGTGTGCATAAACAAACTGGCATGTGAATGCAGAGCAGGTGCTTCATTCACAGGGTAGGTTGCTCTGTCACCTAACAGATGGAAACAAATTTTTCTCTCCCTACACTGGGAAGATTAAGTAGGAAGATGAGGGTAGTGTCTTCCGCTTAATAACAGATATTCTTACTCCCCCCACCCTCTATAACCCTCCTTGGCCACAGGAGACCTGAACCCATATAGTGAAACTACCCCCAGTCAACAGAGGCCCCCTTTGTGAGCACTACCCCCAGCCTCAGGCAAGCAGCAGACGCCCTTTTGGAGAGGGGCTCAGATGGAAAACAATGGTGGCTGGGAGAGAAGGAGCCTCTCCTTTGTGATGGAAATTGGTTGGGTTTTGACAGCAATCAAGGGGAGCAGGTGAAAGGCACCAGCTTTGCCCTCCCACAAACCTTTATCAAGAGAAGCTTGACAGAGCAGGGAGGCCCAGTTCCCCAGGGACCACTGGGTGGGAGGGGAGAAGGGGATGGTCTGTTGGTTCTAACCCATCCCCCATTAATGCTTTTCATAGGAGGTTTCTGTCTGCTGGTGTGTGAAAGAAGTGGGGGAAGACAGAGAATGAGATGTTCATACAGCTGATGCCAGCTGCCCATACTGAAGTCAGGCCCAAAGTGCCATGTTGTGCCACCATCCATTTACAGCACCCTGAAGACAGTAACATGCAGCACCCCAGTTCACTTTAAATGCAACAGAGACATCAGCTAGGAGAGAGATTTCTTTATTGGAAGGGAATGTGTCTGTTTTTCCCCCAGTAAGAGATCAACACCGATCAGCAGATTTTAAAAAACCCAAAAAACCAGGCTGTGATTGCCAGTACAGAAGGCAAGCTTGGCACAGGCTCTTTTTCCATTTTCTTCTTTCACCTGTGCAAAGTCTCAGACTGAGTGGAAATCTGGCTCAGAACAAAAGAAGCCAGCAGGAGAAGATGCTTCAGGTAGACAGCTGCAGGTCTCTGCATCAGGGCAGAAAAAGAACTGCACCTTCTCCACAAAGAAGCAATAGTTATGGGTGGAGAAAGCCTTCCTCTGGCAAGATAAAGGGCCAAACAGATGTGCAGGCCTATGTGTTATGCATGATTAGGGCAGCTAGCTCCCTGAAACCACACGGATGAGTGCTGGGAGAAGACAGACACAAATTCCAGTACTTGGCATGGAAAACAAGTACTTAAAAGCCCCAAAGTCCACTGAGGCACAGCAGCACAATCAGTGGGTTCTATGTGAGAAGTCCAGGGGGGCAGACCTTGGGGCAAAAGGTGTGGAGAATTCTGCAATGTGTCTTGCAATCATGTAGAGCAGGATCTGTGTCCAGGGCAATGGCTCTTTTGTGCATCTAGAAGAAGAAAGGAGAGGATAATCAGTCAAGAGAACAACCCTGGCATCCACACTGGTCCCACTTTGACCTAAAGAGAAAGGCTTTGACAAACCAAAGGAGGACGGGATGAGAGTCATTGCCTCCTACAAACTTTGGCTGTCTCCAGTTAAGGGGTTCACAAATCTGCTGCAGACATTTCAAGGAAGGTGGATGCTATTTAGAGAACTCTTGCCCTGTCCTGCTGTGACTTTCCTTCCATGTTTCACAACTGCCCACAACCACTGAGTTCTATTGAGAGATGTTTGAGACTTGCTGATGGAACTTACCAGCTCTCAGAGTTCATCATGACTGAGGTCTTTTGGCTCATGGCAGGCTGCTGGGGTGACAAACTCCATCAAGTACTCACAGCGGCTGGGCTCTGTTGTGGACATGACAACTGTTTCCTTGCCACATGAAAGCTTTACCTTTGTTGGAGAGAAATCAGAACAGTAGCTCTCAGCCTATCCATTGAAGCCCAGTACTAGCAACCTTTAAAGACACTGGGCAAACAGACTTGGCTTTGATTTATTATTTTACCCCAAGATCCAACATTCCTAGTTGACATATCTATATCCTATTCTTCTCTGGAGAATTCCAAGTGGTATATATGACACTATTCCTAGTTTGTCCTCAGAACCAAGCAGTGGGATAGACAGAGGGACATATAACTGGTCTTAAGACACCCACTCAGCTTCATGTAAACCTTCAAAACTGAGTACCCTCCACCAAATTTTGCCCTGGAATCTCCACTGAAGCACACTGATAGGAAGCTAAGGTATTAATGTTAATAGAAATAAAAAGATCAGGGAATCCCTGCTGTAGAAGTAGCCCAATGAATTACCTAAATGTAATACAGTCCAGCCCAGAAGCAGGCAATCCAATTTGCAGGAAAGAGTCTCTTCATGTACTTCATAAAAGATTTCTTCAGTGCTGAACTGCCTTAAGGGCTACAGAGTAAGACAATGTCTTTCCTGGAATGTAGTATTTCAGGCTGTAGGTAGAGGTTTGGATGTGTCTCCCTCTGCTTGCACATAAAGCAATCTGCTTATGTTGGATTTCGACACACAGAACATTTTTCTTTATGATACTACACACACAGGACATCTCTCATTCCATTGACCGCCAGAGTTGATTCAGCATTTTCTTTATGGATGAACCTTCCAAAGTTCTAGTTCTTGTGAATGGAAAGCCCCATTTAGCTGTTGCAGGCTTTGTTCTTAAGCACTGAACAATATCCATTTTTTTCTTAAAACAGTGAATTATGGCTTTCTCATCACCCCAGAGGAAGATGCATGTCCCCCTGCATACCAGGTTAAGGATAACCTACCCAGACATCACCTACAAGATCTCACCAAATTTTCAGCCAACCAAGATAGCTGATTTAAGCTTCTGGCAGGACACATAACCACCATCCCCTGCAAGTCCAACTTGGTGGGGAAGGCACAACAGATCAGCCTAATCCTGCACTTGAGCAAAAGAAAAAAAAACCTGTCAAATCTTCTCAAGAGAAATCCTGGGATATTACTAGGGCAAGTAATGCCTGACTGACCCACCGAAATGAGTCGGTATCTTATCCTTCTGCCTGATGTACTCCCACAATTGTAAGCTCTGCTACAGTCCAAAGCTTTCACAGTATGTTCCAACTACCAGCCAGCCATGCTTTGTGCGTAACTTCATTGTAAGTGTGCCTGCTTTGTTCAATGTACACTCACTGTGGTTTCCTTCACTAAGTGAGATTTGGAAAGATTTGAATGGGCATGCTTTGGAGTAGAAAAGCAGGATGGGATTTTGGGAGATTCCATTTGAACCCAGAATGCCGGGCTATGTCAGAAGCCAAAATCCTACTCTCAGGCCACAGCTATGGCAAACTGACAGAAAGTGAGAGAGAAGCAGCTCAGTTCTGCTTCACTTCCAGCCTACCTGATGTGTATCTTGAGCTCAGTCAAGTAACTCACCGTGGTGGACCTGTTGGGGCCCTGCCAGCAGCCTGTCCCATGTTCATACTTCATGATGCTGAACTTGTTATCATCTGGGCCAGTCCAGGAACCCCATGTACTAGAAGGAAAGCAAGACAAGTCAGCTCTGGAGAACCACGACACTGCAAAGTCTAAGAGCCCAGTGAGAGAAGATCGCTTCAGGAAGAATCCCATTCAGGGCTGGGTTGTTTTATGGTAATGAAGACATTTTCAGAACATGTATGCAATGGCAACTCCATACTACAAAGTGGGGTCACAGCATGAGCAGGGCCTCAACAGTTAACAGAAGGAGGGTATGCATTTTTTAAATTTACAATTTGCTTAAAGTGGTGAATCCTTCCCAGGTATAATGGGGAAGCTGTTCTTTTTGAGGAAGGGCAGTATTATTATTTTTACTTACAGTAAGAATACTTAGCACTTAAACAGTGCTTCATATACTGACCAGAATGTTTCAGATATGTCACTGGAGCAGACTGCCACCCAGGATTTCCCACTAACTGGGCTAAAAATCCTGCCCAGTAACTCCCTGGTCCCAGAACCCTGGACCAGACACTGGATACAACACATGACAAGCCAAGCATTGGGGAAAAATAAGAATGTATTAAAAGGATAAAATATGGGGGGAGACTAAAATAGATGCACAAGGAATAAAAGGGGAGGGGAGGGAAAGGGAAGGGGATTTGGAGAGCAGCAACAATCCAAATTACAGCCAACCAAAGACTCCCCACTCCCAGGCTTTATTCCCCCCAACCCAGGTCAGGTGACCCACAGGGTGATGGTCTGTGATCAGTCCCATGTATAGATCATTTGCCATTACTGCAGCTACCTCCTGTCCTTGGGCATGAATTCTCCTGTCCTTGGGTGTAATTTACAATCTCTCTCCTTCCTGCATCAGCAACCGGTTCACATTACAGTCATTGCTGTAATGTTTGCAACAGCCTGTTAAGGTATTACCAGTATTACTTTCACCAAAGAACAGGCAGGGCATGGACACACATGAAAGCTGAGAATTTGGCTTGCTTAAACAGTTTAAAGCAGATGCAAATGTTGAACTAGAGCTTCCTCATCCATGGCTCTGCCTTTGACCCGCTGTACCACATCCCCTCCCAGTTCAGGGTGCAGATGACATCAAACTGCCAGAGACAGTGTGGGTACCAGGCCCTTCTTCCCAGAATGTGTGGAAATGGCAGAAACTCTTACCCAAGGCTGGTCTCTGAGCTACCATGCTTGGGTTTCTGAGACACTCTGTCAAAGGGACAGAGACGATAGATGTATCTGTGGGTGAGGGAAACAGAGAAGAGAGTCATGAGTATCTTTGTTATACATTAGATAATTAGGCTGCTAGAATGGAGTTCTAGAGCTATGGCTTGCAAAGCAAAATGTCTCCAGCTGGGACACTGCTTGCATCCTCTGCATTAGAAAGAACAAAAAGCTTGTCAAAATAATGAACAGGCCCCTGATTCACCCCAGTCTCCCCCTGACTTATGCAATTCTTCTATTGACAAAGACAGTGATCTAAGGATCTAGCAGAAGCGCTTCCCTGTAACACATGCAAAATACAACCTCATACAAGAATACAAAAATCCAAACAGCCCTTTTAAAAACCAACAACTTTTTTTAAAAAATCATGAAGGAAGAAAAGAAAAAAAAAACACTGAAAATGTTTTAACAGTTTCCACTGAAGTCTTAAAAATTGGCATGAGAGAAGTTTGTAATCCTTCCTTGTGACTTCTGGTTCTTGTTCCCATGCCCATCACATCAGTCAAAGATGATCCACTTACCGCAGCATTCCCAATGGAATCCTTATCACACTAGTCATCAAGTAAATTCACCCGCCCTTACTGCAGGGAATCTCTTCCTCCCCACCTCAAATCTAGGCAGACACCAGCAGAAAGTCCTAACACTTTGTCAAAGCTCTGCCAGCTTTTGCTGAACTACTTCTGCCACTGCTGAGAAAAGAGGGCGTGGGATGTGCCCCAAAGATAGGGAATACTATCAACACTTCTAAGGCTGGAAAGAAAGGTGAAGACAGGTCCCAGTCGTTGTGTAAGTGGGTGAAGACACACAGGCTCATTCTTGTCAAGGAACAGACCAGTAGGGATGCTGTAGCAGCAAGTGCTCAGCTTGACAAGGCCCGTGCGCACCAGATCCTTACCTGTGGCAAACAAGCTGCATGGATTTAAGTTTTCTACATGCAATAGCAACCCTTCCTTCCTTCCATTTTTGAGAGGATGGCGTGTGGGGTGGCTGAGCAAACCCAACCTGATAAGCTAAATCATGCCACAGCTCAATTAGGGAGGAGCAGGAGGAAGCAAATGATCACCTGGACCCAGGCCTCCAAGACAGCAGCTCTGGGTTCCAGGAGGGCCAGAGTTCTTTAGGTACAGTAGGGCCTGGAGGCCAGCAGGAGCCTGGCATGCCAGAAAATGGCTGCTGGACTCCTATGTATTGGATCATTCCAAAAGCTGCTAGCCTCATTGCTAAAAATAATTTGCTTGCATATAAGGGACCAAAGTGTCCTTTTGCAAAAGCCAATCCCCTGCCTGGAAACAAAAACTCCAATTTAGCCTCCTAAAAATGGAAAAGGTATGATCAGTAATCTTTCCCTTCCATCTAGGTCAGGAAAACATGCTGTGCCAAGTGATGTTCATGGCATGAAGTTCTTGATGGCTCTAATTACAAAGGAGAGGGGTCCAGATCTTGAGACCAGATGAGGCAAGACTCCGTTAGTCATGACCTTTCAGGTGCTGCAGCGTGTTTCCTCAGGACGAGCAGGACAGTGACAGGTGCAGGTAGCTAAGCTCAAACCTGCCAGTGTCACATGGAATTCTGGGAGTCCAATTTAAGGAGTTAAAAGGTAGCTTGGGGAAACCATTCCCAGTTCCTCTGCTTGTCACTCTGGGTCCTCTTCCCTTTCAGTGCTTTTCTCCTAGTAGGGCTCTCCTCTGGTATGGCAGCCTGGCTAAGGGACAGGTGGAGGGCTCTGCGCTCCTTCAAATGCAGTCTTTTTGTTCTTGCAGCTAGGACTCCAACCCTCTAAAGACTGCAGGAGTTCAGGTTTAAGTGCATGCTCTGTTGCCACCTTACCTAGCTTGTCCTGGTGCATCAGCTAGAAGAGGAGCAGCTTCGGTGTAACCCTGATTGTTTCCCCATTATTTAATACCACCATCTTCTCTTCTCAAAACCCCTCATGTGCTACCAATCAAAAATAACAAAGGCAGCCACCAGAAATCCATTCATTTTCCAAAGCGTGCAGCTTAAAGCATTGATCCTTTTTGGTTCATAGTTTGCAAAATTAATTCTCAAAATTGGATATTTTAGTGCAAAATTCAGACCGCTGCTTTCCCATTTGTCTGTTGCCATGCCTCAAAAGAAAAAAAGCAGAGCACTCAAAGGCTCAGCCAGACTTACAGGCCTCACCTCACCTCTAAAAAACGAAATCAATTCTTCTAAATTTTGACTGTAACCTGCACAGATGAGACCAACTACATTGGTGGGCTCATTTGATTTCCATGTCAGTTACCAAACTTAATTTTCCTTGTTGCAGAATTCTGCACCTGAACTAATGTCCTGGAAAACTGCCAAGAGGCTGACATTAAGAACAAGCTTCTTTTCTAAAAACTTTTAAGGCAGGCTGGAAAATGCTTTTTATGGATGACTGAAGATACATAAACACCACTGAACTGGAGACTGGATAAGTTGAGTGGCAATCATTTGATGAATGCCACATTTTTCTCTGGGATTGAAGTTGACAATTAAGTTGTTCTTTTACCCTTTTCAGACAACTGTAGAAACTGCATTTCAGCCTATGCATTAGGAACCTCACCTCCTGGAAAGTAGTTAGCCAGTATCCACATTAACCCGGCATGGGTGCTGTTTCACAAGATTGACTAGAAGACATTTTAAAGCTTGCAGGACAGCCATGTCAGCCTTTTGATGAAGGGGCATTTGCCCAGTTTGTGAAAGTGTCCATGACACACTCACAAAATTCCACCTGTGCCCACTGAACTCAAATATTGGCAACCTCACAGTTAGAACATGGCAGAAAAGCAAGCAACAGAATTGTCCCAGGGTTTGGGCTCACAAGGAACAGCACTCATATCACCAAAAGGCTGAGCAGAGCAAAACGATCTCAGAATTAAAAGAAGGTTAGCAGGGGCCACAAGCACCTACTCATTAGTGGCAAGTTCATAGCACTGGCCATACAGATACGAAAATTCTCCATGTGGTCCAAAATCAAAGGTAATCTCTTTCTCCAAGTTCCTGGGGAGGAAAAGGAAAAACTGTTTTAAAATCTTGTACGTTTATGGCTAACAGAACATTTTACTAAACAAGCACAATAGGGTCTGGATGTAGGAATAATTCTGGGTTCAGTGAAAAGCAAAGCAGATAGCGTTATTTGTCCCCCGCAAAAAAACCAAAAAAACAAAAATAGAAGAAACCCAAATCTAGTCTCCTTCCCAGTCTGATTCTAATACTTCCCTCCATCCAAAAACCAAACAAAACAAATGGAGCCAACGGGGTGGCTTTGGGCCAGTCACAGACCCTCAGCCCAACTTATTTCACAGGGTTGTTGTTATGGGGATACAACTAAGAGTAGGAGGGGGAGAATGATGTAGGGTGCTTTGAATTCTTTTAACAGAATATAAATCTAATCAATAAATCAACAATAAATATAACACACCCTGAGGCTAAGGAGGTGTTTAATGCACACATCTAAACATGACGGAAAGAATGGAACTTAAGCAGAAATAGCAAAGATCAGAAAGGAAGAAACAAGGAGACGTGGTAGTCTCTTATAAACTTAATCTCTGGTGGGGGATCATAGCTTATTGCACATATATTTGCATGTGGGGAGGGATTTAAGAATGCCAAGGAACAAGCAGAAGAAGGGCTGCAGCAATCAAGGAAAGCTTTTGGGTGTGTTCTGAAAGATTCATGGCAAATAAACTTCCTTGACTGAAGGAGAGAGAGCAGGGGTGACAGCCCTCCCAGAAGCAGTCACATTCTACCAAGAATTTAGAGCGTCTGGAAGAGCTGCCTTGCATTGAGCTGGTCATGTGGTCCACTGAATCCAGCACTGCCTACTCTGACTGGTAAGAACTCTCCACATTCTGCAGACTGCGTTCAAGTAATTGAGAGAGAGCCAGTGCAGTGCAGTGGTTAAGAGGACTGGGATTCAGGCAATCTGGGTTCTAGTCCCCACTCAGCTATAGAGCCAACTGGCTGGCTTTGGTAGAGTCACAGCTCTCAGCCCAACCTACCTCCCAGGGTTGCTGTTGTGGGGATAAGACTGAGAACAAGAAGGGGAGAATGGTTTAGGCCACTTTGATTTTGTTATGAGAAGAAAGCAGTATATAAATAAAGTAAACACAGACACTCAACAACAGTCTGCTTGGGAGGCTGAGAGATGAAAGTGAGCGAGAGAGTAGCCTCTCTGCTTCACCTACCACCAAGGGTCACATAAACCCAGTGGTGGAAGGCAAGTCTTGTCTGTGCAGGGGTCAATGCCCTTTGCCCAAACTCTTTGTTAAGTGGTTGCCTTTGTTCCTTGCCCTTATCTGCCTGCAGCCCCAGGGGACCCCACTGAGCAGCAAAGGGACTTGCTGGGGGGGCTGGATCCCATGGTTACCGCCCTGTCACCAAGGCTACTCCTAATTACAGGTCTGGCTCCCAGGCAGGGAGAGAGAAGCAAAGCTCTTTGTTTAATAAAGGACCTGCTTCAGAGGCTCCTTTGCCCCAGCCAGATCAAAACAGCTTTCAGGAAAAGAGAAGCTGCCTCAGCAACATGTTCCCGAGGGTTCATGCTCTCCTTGGGTCCACATTTGGACAGGCAGTTATGGCAGAGCCTGCCTGAGGCTTGCTCTGGGCTTCAATGCAGAGCCTTAAGCCAAGCTGCTTCTCCTCCAGCACCAACCTCTAGCCTGTGAAAAAGGAAGGGCAGCAGCAAGAGCACTCCAGCCAGAAGGATGGGCAAATATGGTCAACCATGCCAAGCCCTTTGGGGAAAAGGTGGGTGGTAACCTGAAATAAATGACTAGAATATCCACTTTCCTTTTGTGGCAAGGGAAGGGAGTCTTCCACCTCCTCAAGAGAAAAACCTCTTTGAAAAATGACACTAACAAAACAGGTCTCAGCTGCTATTCCAGACTTCCATTAGCTGCTTACTTAGCTAACACCTCCTTGCCTCCATCCCCACCCTCTAAAAGCCTTCCTAATGGGCCACACTAGAGCTCTCCCTGGGGCAGAGAGAGGCAACTATGGTAAAGTTGTGGCTGGGTGGTAAATGCCCCATGTGGAGCCAATTTTGAGGAGGGACTTCAATTAAGGCTCTAGTTTTGCACCTGCTGTTTTAGGCTGAGTTCTCCCTGAGGTGGTAAACCTGCACCTTGGTTGCACCATTTCAGATGGCTGGTGGGAGCTCACAGGACTGAATATTCCTCCATACAAAACCCAGCCAACCCCACCTCACTTCAAACACAACAAATTCTTTTAGCAGGAAGGGTTCTAGCCTAGCCTTCCCCTTGACAGGCTGGTTTTCTGTGCACAAGGGGTGGGGTGGCATGGGTGTTATATGGAACAGCAATCATGCATCCTTTCGCTGGCCATTCAGAGCCAAGATGAATGCTTACCACCTCAGGGAGAACAATGCAGCTCCCAGCCAGGACAAAAGTTTTTAATCACTGCCCTCAAAGATGCTCAGCAAACCAGAATTGTCGCTAGGGTTACAAACTGGATGTCTTTGAAAGACTTGGAATGGACTTGATTCCAAAGGCACAGACACTCTCAGACTGTGCTTATGGAACTTCAGGCCAGTGGGGGTCAAACCCACCTGGGTTGTGAGTGGCAAGTCTATATTTAGAATTCCTCAGTTGGCTATATGCCCTGGCCTGGCCCCTTTCCACCCAACCGGCAGTCATATGGTGGCTTCCTGGCTCCCACACTCTTTTTCCACTTCACTTTTTCCATTGCACTCAAAGGATGAAATGCCTCTCCTGAGGTGAAGTTACTAGCACTCAAAGCAGCAAGTCACAATTATCTTTTGCCAACTTGCGGTACATGTTTGCCCCATCTGTTTGCCTTTGGGCATCCCCATCACTGGACAGCAGCTTCCAAAAGCATCTCCAAAATGGAGCACAATCCTTGGGATGAAAGAGGTTTCTCCACCACTATCTAGACCAGGGGTCTCAAACTCGCGGCCTGCGGACCAATTGCAGCCCACGGGACGATATTTTGTGGCCCCCACTTGATATCAAAGTTTAGTGATAGTGCGGCCCGCGTGGTTTTCTCACATGCACCTGCGTGAGTCGTTACCCTGGGCGCAATGTTCCCTCTAAGCTGCGCGCCGGGACGGGAGGGGCACGGGGGAGGGGCCCTGCGGCCTTCAAAGCACCGGCGGCGCCCGGGCCGGCCTCCGGGAGCGACGCGGGATAAGCGGCCCTCTACCACCGTGGTGAAATACTTGATGAGACCCAGCCTCACCCAGACTCTACTTCCAGCGGCCCCCAGGTAAGTTGAGTTTGAGACCCCATATCTAGACCATTCTCAACCTATCCTGTCAAGACGTTGAAGGGCTTAGCTGATGGCCCATGTTCCTGATCCTATTCATTCATCTAAGTCAGACCAGGGGCCTTTAAAGATCAGTCTCAGCCACTTCAATGATGCTATAAAAGGAAGCTGCCTGTGATGGGAGGGAAAGAAGTCTGCACCTTCAAGATTAAAGAATTCAGTGCCTATATATACTCTGCACTGCAAAGCTTCCAAAACTGGGGCAGAGGAAGTCTGCATGCTACAACAAGAATGGTATTTTCATAGGTTTATATTCTTTAATTTATTTTGCTTCCAATATGACAGTTTCTAAAACTCATGGATTCATAGGTTTGCAAAGACATGAGTGACAGAATATTACAAGAGTATTCATGCAAGATAAGCTCCCAGTGGTTTAAGCTGGTGGAAAATATATCTAAGGTGCATTCAAACATTAGCTTTATAGCTAGTTTGCTAGATTCACACTTCCCCAATGTCATTTCGGTGTTAAGATCTATTTAAATGCCCATGTCTCCCAGAGGAACCTTTATTATGAATAACAGAGTAGACAGTTCCATGGAGAATGGCAATTGTGTATAGTACTTTGGCCAAACAAAGCTTTACTGGCTGACTTGACCAACACCTATACTGGCAAATGCACATCGGTATTCATTTGTGAGTGCAGCTATTGCCAGAATGAAGTGTTAAAAGGAATAAGTTGAAAATAATAGTAATCGTATTAGGAATAGTCACAAAGTCATGTATCAAAACCAGAGTCTGTAGCCACTCTAACATGTCACAATGGTTGTGTGAAGGGGCTCTAAATGAAAGGCACAACCAGAATCTGCCTAGAGTTCTATGGGACGATTAGTGTGAAACACGTTTAATAAATAAATAACCAAACCACAGGCTCCATTTAGGACAGCCAATGCATCTGGCTTTGTGCATCTCTGGCTCCTTCCTTTGAAAATGAAGAAACCAGCAAATAAACCCTCCCCCAACAGTTAAATGAAGTGCCTGTCACCAAGGTCAGCTGAGCTAAGTGTGCTGAGGTCTCCCATCTGCTCCCTGAATCATCCTTCCCAGCCTAAGAGCTCAGGAGTGTGTGATTATGGCAATAATTATGTATGCAATCAATAGAAGCCAGCTTGAATTTTATTTTTGGCTTCCCCCCTCCCCCACCTGGGACTGGGGGAGTGAAGGCAGAAAAAGATGTGAGATGAATGGCAAGTGGGGCCAAAGTAATGCCCAATCTCTGCATTAAGTACTCTCACCATCTTCATGGGAAAACTGAAAACTAATATCCAGACTGAGATACATCAAGGCAGAAAAGAAGCAACAGCAGCAAATGTCAAGAGAAGTGGTTTTAGGAGCCTTCTAACCCTTTGATCAGGGACAGTCCTCTTGCAACCCTAAGCAGAACTCACATTGGCTCTTTTTAGCATAAGGGTCCTCAAACATCCATCATGACCTCCCATACATAAAGGGGGTGAGGCAGAAGAGCTACATGGGTTAGATCCATGAATAAAGGTCCTGAAAGGAGAACCATCGCCTTTCCAAGGCTATGAGAATAAGGTGGCTGTCTCAGCCCAATGCAGCCAAGGGCACCTGGGTACATGGGAGCAACATGAAGACCTGGCTAGGCAGTGGTTTGGAACCACAGGGATGGCTGTGAGGGAAGGAAACAGGACAATGTGAAGCAGATGGCAGTATTGCAAGGCTGAAGAGCTCCTTGCAAATCCAGGAGGCAAGGACTGTTGGTCATGGAAGCTACACAAGCACATTCAGCTGAAATGCTCGGAGAGCTCTTGTCAGACTTGTGAGTTCAAAATGCAAAGGTGTGTCCAGCAGGCAGGAGCACAGAAACCTTGCAGATGGGGCTTCGTGGACAGCTGTGTCTCCCACCCCACGTTTGCCCTCCACATAGGGTGCACAGGGCTCAGAATTCATCTAAGGCACAGGTATTGGCAGAAGGTCTGGGTCTCCTTCCCTCTCTTTCCACTGCCAAAAAGTGAGGCCTTGGTAGGCTGAGAGTTATGAGTAGAGCCCCTCAATTTTTGCTGGAGTAGAACAGTATTTGCAAGATTTGGAACAGAAAGCCCATTTGCAATGACTGTTGATGTTACAGAGCAGTGATGCCGAACCTTTTAGAGACCGAGTGCCCAAACTGCAACTCAAAACCCACTTATTTATCGCAAAATGCCAACATTGAAGTAAAACCTGAATTTGCTGACCACCAGCACAAGGGGGCAACGTTCCACTGACCACCAGCTTTTGGCTGGCCCTGAAAAAGGCATCTGAATGCATTTCCTACCTGAGTTTATTTCCTACCTTTCCTACCTTCTGCTAAAATCATAGTCCAAGCAAATCCCTGGCAGCTCACTGACTGGTCACGCGAAAGCTTCATGAGTTGTGGCGAATGAGTGACATCGTTGCCTGGCGCCCTTAATCTTTCCAAATATGCGTATGGCTGCTGGGGTGATCGCCTGCAGACAGGGAGGGCTCTGCGTGCCCCTTCAGGCACATGTGCCATAGGTTTGCCATCACTGTTATAGAGGATGGTGCAGATTCTTAGCATATCAGCTAGGATTGTACTGCAGGCTTGCTGCAGTCCCTCTCCCAGATGCCTCCAACTTCTCTGTTGGAATGACAAAACAGTTGGCTTCCAAGGAGAGGCCAATTTAAACTCATACTTTGAAGAAGGGATAGATTGGGGGTGCCAATTTAAATGCAGAGTAGTCAGATTTTAAGGAATATGAAAAATATCTATCTGGTCTCAACTGCTAAGGCTGGAAGACATGTTTGAGGGCACACCCAGCAAAAGCTGAGAACCATGTATTCAGAGACACAAGGATGCATGACCTCAAGTCTAGCAATTGCTCCACCCTTATTAGGGAAAAAAAAATCTGCAAATTCGCCAGCCAGTAATTGCTTTACCACCATTCTGAAATGGCTGTTAAGTGTCCACCCAGACTGACTCAAACCTAGTTTCCTCTTCAAGTTGATCCTGTCAGATGGACAGGTTAATCACTTCCCCCTCTCTGGGGTGCAAGCAGCAGTAGATCAAGTGGTGATGGTGAACTGATGGGGAGATTTGCAGGTGTTCAATGTGACAGCTTGCAAGGGAGGAAGGTTTTAAAAGATGGTAGTAGCAAGGCATGCTGAGTCTCCAGCTGGGCCTTATGCCAGGGGTACATCCTCTTGCTTGCTTGACATACAACTAGAACTAGAATTAAATGCTCTCTCTTTCACCCAGTTCAGTCAACTTGTTATGTGACTTAAAAGCTAGCCATTCAGGCCTCTCTAGGCACTTCCACTCACTGGCAGTCTTAGTAATTAGATTCAAAGTGTGCAAAAAATCATCAGACTCTCCCCTCAAATGTAAATGCACTGGAAGTTTAAGTGGTTCAACTACTGCTAACGTTTTTCATCTGTTGAAGAATATGCTGAGTACAGTAATGATAATAAAATGAAGGTCTTGGTGGGCATCCCTGAAGGCAGGGGTGGATACACATTATATGGATTAGGGAGTGTCAGAAATGCACAAAAACTGGTCAAGACAACAGCAGGGAAGTTCTCCCTCCCGTCCATGGAAACCCGCAACATCTTCAAAGAGTCGCACCATGTAGCTCAGAACCATACCTGATAGATTCCTCCATTTCTTTCATTGACTTCTCTGCCTCTTCAAATTGTTCTCTTGCCTTTTGGGCAGCTGGAAGACACATAAGACAGGCTGCAACATTAAATGAAAACTCTAATTCATTCTAACTACCCTGCTACAACCCTTCTATGCAACGACCCTTCAAACCTACCACCTGGGCAGGACACTGTTTTACCTGTTAATACGACAACTTACCCCAAAAGGCCACGGCAGGTGGGTGGGAAGAAAATGGACCACAAAGCCCTTTCACAAAGATTTTCGAAACAGCAAACACTGTCACATCTACTTTCAATGATTTATTCTTCTGCTTAACAGGTTGCTCATCCCTGGCATCTTACAATTAGAAAATATCTTCACAAGCTAAACCATTTCAACCTCACAGCAATCTTCCAAATTAGAATTCATGACATAATGCAGAACTGATGCTGAGAACATGGCTTGGCCATTTGGGACAAGAAATGAATTGCATCTCTCAGGTCCACTGCACTGCAGTTCCCTTGCACACTCATTCCCTCTTCACCAAGATGATGTGAAGGGGAGAGTATAGTTGGCTTGTGCCTTGCATGGAGAAATCTTTAATATTTGAGAAGTGGAAACTGCTTTTGATATTCAAAAGTAGCAGCAAAAAGAAGAAAGAAGAAAAAGAAAGAACAAATGACTTTGCATCTTGTCCAAAGGAGGCTGAGATGAAGATGAGAAAAGGGATGCTGCTTACCTGAAACTGCTGATCTTTGGTCATCTGTGCATCACACATATGGGTGCCTGAATTTGGGAAAATTCTCTCAGCTTATTAATGGTTTTGAAGGGAACTCCACACCTTGTATCAATAGGTGGAGTCCCAGCCCTATTGCCAGTCCAGCTGAAGACTGACCATTTGCTCCCCAACTCATACTGGCACGTGAGGAAAATAAATAAGCCCATTTAAATCCATCCACTGACACTGATGTGGGGCTGGCGGGGGGGTTGTGAATGTAGATGACCACTTGAAGAATGACAGTTACAGGTAAGCAACCTGCCTTTCTTCGTCGTGGTCTCTGGGCATCACACACATGGGTGATTGGCAAGCTTACCCTACCAAGGAGGTGGGATGGTGTCATTATTGCAGGACAGTCAAGAGGACAGCACAACCAAAGGAGCAGTCCTTTCCAGCTTTAATGTCAAGGTGCTAGTGATGGATGAAGGTGCATGGGGTGGACCATGTGGCAGCTTTGCACAAGTCCTGCAGCGGTATGCCAGCACAGAGAGCTGACGAGGTAGCACCAGCTCTGGTTGAGTGCCCCTTCAGGGTGATCAGCAATTCTCTGTTGGCAAGCTGGTAAGAAAGCTTGATGGTTTCAACCATCCACTTGGACAAGTGTAGTGGTCCTATAGGCATTCCTTTGTCATGCTCTGAGTATTTGATGAATAGTCATTTAGTCCTTCAAAATGACTCAGTCTGGGATCAGTAGAAAGTGAGTGCCCTGTGGATATCCAGTGTGTGACGTGATCTCTCAATCAGTGTTGACAGTGCGGGAAAATATGCTAGTAGAGCAATGTCTTGGTTCAGGTGGAATGCTGTAGTCACTTTTGGAAGAAAAGTTGGGCCCATTCGGAGAACTACCTTTTCTTTATGTAAATTTAGGTATGGAGGATCCATTCATAGGGCACATAACTCACTTGCTCTTCTTGCTGAAGTTATAGCCACCAAGAAAGAAGTTTTCCAAGAGAGTAATCTCAAGTCCATGGAAGCCAGAGGTTCAAATGGCAGTTTAATCAGCACCAGGAGGATACGGAGAGACTCCATGTTGGAACGATTGATTGAATCAGAGGGTGTAAATTTTGTAGTCCTCATAAGATGCGATGTGTTAACTGATGTGAAAATACTGATGTTCCTCCTATATGACCTCTGTGGTGCAATATTGCTACAAGGTATACTTTGATGGATGATGGTTTGAGTCCTGCTTGATGTAAGGAAAGGAGGAACTGGAGAATATTTTCAACGGGCACTGATGGAGCTGTAAAGTTATTAGTGGTCACGAAATGTGTGAAATAACTCTGTCTGGAAGCATGTGGCCATTGAGTATTCGGCCGGAGGGCTGACTGTAGAATGCACTGTATGTCAGGATGGTGGTTGTCGGTATCGGGTTTGGCGTATCAACCAAGCAGTTAGTTTCAGCATAGATCTGGGTGTAGGATCCTGCCTTGCTGTTGAGAGAGGAGCTCCAAGATCGTCAGAAGGTGTAGGTATTTCCCTTCTGATAGTTGTAGAAGGGTTGGAAACCACACCTGATGAGGCCACCATGGGGCGATCAGTATGCAGGTCAATTTATTACATCAGATATTTGTTAAAGTCTTTGTTATTAATGGGACTGGAGGGAATAGATAAAAGAAAGTGTTGTTTCATGGGATCATAAGTGCTTCTTCCAGACAGCCCTCTCCTATCCCTGCTCTAGAGCAGTATGAGTCACAAATCTTGTTCTATTGGGTAGCAAAGAAATCTATCGTGGGAGTTCCCCATTGGCTGAACAGTTGTTGGCAGATTATCTGGTTGAGCTCCCACTCGTGGGTTGTGGATGTGTAACGGCTCAAGGAATCTGCTTCTGTGTTCTTGGTAACAGCTAGATGAACTGCCTGAAAGTACAACTCGTGATCAATGCACCAGTCCCATAGATGAAGTGCGAGATGAGCTAAAGGAACTGACTTTGTTCCTCTTTGCTTGTTCAGATAAAAGACAGTTGACATATTGTCTGTTGCTATTTGTGTAGTCTTTCCAATCAGGATGGTTTTGAACAAACAAAGGGCTTTGAAAACTGCTAACAATTCCAGGTAATTGATGTGCCTCATTCTTTCGTGCCCATGCCAAGTTCCTTGGGTTCGATAGGAAGCATAATGAGCTCCCCATCTGTTTCAAGATGCATCAGTATAGAGCATGACAATTGGGTCCAATGGTTGGAACAGCATCCCCTGAGTTAAGGTGGAATCGACCAGTCATCAGTGTAGAGTCTGCAGAACCGAGCGTGGAGGTTTGAGTAGTCAGTACAGAGAATCATGTTCAGGATAGTGAGAGCGATTAAGCCATTAATTGTAGTGGTCTCATTTGTAGTCTTGCATGGGAGACCACCAATACTGTAGTATCCATATGTCCGAGTGTTTATTGTATGGAACAGACTGTGCTTGAATTCTTGGCTTGTAGTTTTTGGATGGATGTTGCCAAGCTTTCCTTTCATTCTGTTGGTAGATAGGCTCATGCTTGCCTCGAATCCAAGTGAGCTCCGATGTATCCATGTTCTGTAATGGACAGAACCCACGGATTAGATGTGATGGATTCCCATATGGGGATATGTTTTAGTTGATCCCCAAATGGGAAATTTGGAGTTACTGGAGAACTTATTTGCTCTACCCATTAATGTTGGCATTTGTTGGTATTGAGCCTTTTCTTACTAGGCTGGTACAGAGGTGTGTTAGTATGGCAGGATCAAATCAGTCTCTGGCCTAACAACTGATGCCCAGTGAGTTAGCTCTGTTGTGTAGGTTGGAAGGGACAATATTGGAATTGTCGATTCCATGTCCAATTACATTTCCATTGTCCGGTAGGTCCCCATCCCATACGTCTAACTGTTAGTCATGCCTTGTGGATGGTATCTAACTTCTCATTGATCTTGGAAGGGAAGAGGCTAGTTTCGTCAAAGGGAATGTTTTCCACCCTCTGGCTTGTCTCCTGCAGTAGATTGCTTGCACGTAGCCAGTCATGACATCTGAGAGCCACTGCATCAAAGAGCACCCTGGAATCACAGTTGAGATGATGTCTTGCCATTGCCAGTTGTTGCCTGCACAACTGCATGGCTTCTCCAATGAAGACATTGCCAAATCCCTTTATTGGTCTGGTAGAAATGCAGCAAGGGATTCCATCTTCTCCCAAAGGAAATATTGGTAGCGTGCCATGGCAGCCTTGCAATTCGAAATTTGTACTCCAAATCCCATTGCTGAGTATATTTGGTGAGACAGCATGTCAATTTTCTGCCCTTCTTGATCAGTTGGTGCAGTGTGCTTTCAGTTCTGATGGCCCTGAGCAGATTCAATGATCATTGAATTCAGGCACAGATGTCTTAGGAGAAAGGGAATGTCCTATTCCTTGACCTTATATATGGATTCGAGGCACCGAGATGCTGGATGTGGATGGTCTGGTAACTCCCATGGTTCCATCATTGCTTGCCATAGTGGGGGATGAATGGTAGGGCAACTGGGACCACATCCTCCATCCTCATATCATAAATGTTATCCTGTTCTGGGTCAGTGTGTTGTTGGATGTCAATTCCCAGGGACGTTGCCATGTGGGTCACTTGCTCCAAAAAATGGCCCATGCTTTCTCCAAGTGATCCTGGACCTTGAGTTGACACCATGAGGTCAGGTGAAGTGGCACTTGTTCAGCAGCCTCAGCAGTGTCTGACATGTAGGTCATGCTTGAGGAAGAACGTGTCAGTGATCTTTCTTCCACTGGACGGACAGCAGCAGCAGTAGTCTCATCCTGGGATGTTGATGGCAGATCTGCAGGCTGCTGTTGTCTCTGACAAGGAATAGACAATGGATGTGGAGGTCCATAAGGTGAGAAGTAATCCCATGCAAATTCAGGTCCATATCCTTGAAATGGAGGGGACATCCAATACTGGCTCCTTCCATACCAAGGAATCTCCAGTTTGAATGCATGGATGGATCTGTGCGTTGAACCCAGAAAAGCTTCTGTGGATGGTGGCCCATACAATTTAGGCATGGGAGGATGCTGAACTTGCTCCTGAGGGTCTTGAATAATCTGTACCGATGATTCAGATGGTATCGAAGATTGTGCCAGAGACTCCTGAATCTCTCTATCCGAGACTGGTTCGGGATGAATAAAGCAGATTGACTAGCCCTTGAACAAGGATACAGCATCAGTGATGGGCTTGTCACATGGTATGGAGTTGGTCTCCGAGTCATTTGTACTGATGGGGCTCAAACTGGAGGCTCTCTCAGTACCAACAGGCTCGGGTCCATTTCCATTTGGTGTAGAACCTCTGTGTGAGCCGAATGGGAGTGCC